TTTTGTAAGCATTTTCTACTCAAAATAAGCTATGTTTTGTGCCAGAAAAAATTTTTTTTTCCTCATAATTGGTGGAGATTTTGAAGGGGTAGCGGGTGTTTTTCTCCTTAACTTCTACGCCCCTGAAAAAAGTACGGTTTTGAGAGGCCCATTCGAACCGCCAATGTTTTCTACACAAAAAAGGTACTCTTGGTCATAAGCTCTAAACTTGACCGTTTTCGAGAAAAATCAACTTTTATGTTTAAAAACATGGTCAATTTAAAAAAAAATAATTTTTTTTTACTAACAAAATTTATTTTAACATTAGAACAAGTAACAAAACCAAACCATAATTTCAAAATAAAAAATGATTCAAAAGTTGTCTTTGCTAAATTCTCCAAACCGTAAAGGTAACGCATTTCGCACATTTCAGCATTTGTGTAAAAAATCATTTTTTATTTTTTTTTTAATTTTGCAATTATCGTTTGGTTTTGTTACTTTTTCTAACGTTAAAATAAATTTTGTTTAATTAGTAATAAAATTTTTTTTTCAAAAAATTGACCATGTTTTTAAACATAAAAGTTGATTTTTCTCGAAAACGGTCAACTTTAGAGCTTATGACCAAGAGTACCTTTTTTGTGTAGAAAACATTGGCGGTTCGAATGGGCCTCTCGAAACCGTACTTTTTTCAGGGGCGTAGAAGTTGAGGAGAAAAACACCCGCTACCCCTTCAAAATCTCCACCAATTATGAGGAAAAAAAAATTTTCTGGCACAAAACATAGCTTGTTATGAGTAGAAAATGCTTACAAAAGCTGTTTTTTGTACGATAAACGGTTCCAGAGATAATCGAAAAAAACGATTTTTTTTCTAAAATTTCAACACCCCGTATCTCGAAAATTGTGTTTTTTAGGGTAAGTTAATAGCGACTTTTTTCATCTTTTTGGTTGAGCTATCACATCCTGAAGTCCTGCGCATATATTATGAAACACCCTGTATATCACTATTGTATTAGAGTCTATTTATTTGCACGTATATTTATTTATTTCTACGCGAGTACCAAAACTGGACTAACTGCCCTGTGCTGCTCCGTTTCTTATATATTTAGCGCCCAAGTCTTCTGGAACATTCCAGCGAGCTCCACACTCTCGATTATTCGAGCGCTGAGTCACCGGCGATGACTCACCGGCGATGAGTCATCACTCCGATATCCAGAGCGGTACTCGCTACAGTACTATAGTGTGTTATGTTGAAAATAAGTCACGCAAGAAAGATTTATAAGTGGAAGAAATCTTTTTTTTTATGAGATAATGATTAATAAGCTTTGTGAAAAAATCAAAGCTACTTGCGTCTCAGTACCCTATAAATGTCAGAATGATTTGTCATTTTGGTCAAAGTAGGTTGTTTGTTTGGTTGCCACGGGCATGATACATTGTTAGAAAATGTTTAAATAAAGTTTGACACTTGTCAGTTTTCCCTGCAGAAAAGGGAAGCTTTTTTGAAGAAAAAAACCGATAAAAATTACGTTCCTGAGGATATCCTTACAGAAGCGGAAGAAGCAGCGATGCAGATTTTGCCAGAAAAGTCCCGAGATGCTTACGACAAAAAGTTCAAAATGTTTGAGTCTTGGTTGAATTCACGGATAAATATAAAAGGTATCGATGAAAATGTTATATTGGCTTATTTTTTACATTTGCAAAAAAAATTAGCCCCATCGTCGCTATGGACCAAATACTCGATGCTTCGCTCGACTATTCACCTTTATAAAAAAATCGACATTTCAAAATATGGCAAACTAGCGAGCTTTTTGAAAAACAAACCAAAGAAGTCCAAGACATTAGAACGACCTGAAATAGAGAAGTTTTTGAACGAAGGTCCCGACGACGAGTACCTGTTGATGAAAGTGGCTTTGATAATGGGGATTTGCGGTGCTTGTAGATGCGATGAATTGGTCAATTTGAAAACAGAAAATATTCAAGACAAAGGGAAATATTTTTACGTAGTTTTGCCAGACACCAAAACCAAGAAATTAAGAAGTCTCACCATACTTGAAGAAGGATTTCCAGTCAACCCGATCAATTTGTGTAAAAAATACATGCATGTCTTTGAGACCAAAGAATACTAGTTCTAGACGCGCTTTTTTGTTTTTTATAAAAATGGGAGGTGTACCAGCCAGTGTGTGGGAATAAATACGTTGTCGAAGATATATCTTCAAGAATTGCAATGTTTTTGAAATTGGAGAAAGCAGCGCTCTACAGCGGTCACTGCCTGAAAAGGTCTTTTGGCCAATGCAGGGGCTAACATGACTACTTTGAAGCGTCACGGCGGATGGAAGTCCTCGACGGTAGGATACCTAGAAGAATCGGTGCATAACAAAATTTTGTATTAATACAAATTGCAGAAAAACGGCTATACCGATATGGGAGCGTCTGGTTCCAATGAACCAAAGAATTTTAGAATGACTTCAAATTCGAATAAACCGTTAGCGTTTTCCTTTAATTTCAATATCAATGTGAATTCTGCTTGTAATAGTAATAAAATTAATATAATACTACTACTAAATATGTAGGTGAGTTATAATCCATAACTCACTAGTGAGTTATGGATTATAACACACCAGTGTGTTATTTGATAGTTTACTTGTCTAAAATGACAGTCATAACTGTCATGTGTTGGATAAACAAATTAAAGCACTAAACATTTTTTGTTATCAAGGGAGAAAACAAAATAAACAAGTTTTAATTGGACGTTTGGCCCAAATTGTTATTCGATAATTCGATTTATATTGGATAAACTGTATTTTATCACGCATTTTACACCAAATTTAATAAATTAAAAAAGATAGATTGATTAAAAAGAAAAAAGCCTAATTAATCTACATTAAGTGGATGCATAAGTAAGAAAAAAAATAAAATTATAATAAAGAAGATTATTTTTTGATATACAAAAAATCAATACAATACACTTTTAAAAATAGCTGTTTGCAAAGTTAAGAGCACTAGTGTGAAAATTAAAGGCGGCACTTGGTTATTTAGGTTAGGGTCACGCACCGATTTTTAATTATATTGGACGTGCTCACACTTTTTGTATGGATTGTTTTTTAAATACCTTTTTGTATATCATGTCTAGTCTCCGTAACTACCAAAATATGCTAATAAACCAAAAAGTTAAAGCTTTGATGCATAAAACAGATTACATACATATTCAAATTTATATAAATTTAACTTAAAAGTTTAAATATTATTCTAAAAATAATAAAAAATTAAAATTAAGAGAAGATAAACAATTATTATGCATGTAGATTAAGGGCTTTGCCAAATTTATTCTTTGTCTACTTTGGATAAGAAAAAATAAAATTTAATTTATCCAATCATGTCCCGAAATAGATTTTCTACTACATCGACATTCTTCGAATAACATTAGGGAAGTTTTTACGAGTATTTAAGCTTAAAATTGGAAAATACGTTTTCTTGGTTTAAAGTTAACTGAAATTATCGAGGTTTCTGTAATAAGTTTATAAATATTATTATAATGATCATCTCCTTATTTGTAATTTTGGAATACCAAAATTTTTTTTTTTATATTTTTAATAAAAAACTAAATAACAAAAATTGAAAGGATGATAATTATCATTATAAATTTCACATTAAATATAGGTTTAAATATAAGTTTTTAATTTAACCTAATTTTATCAGACCTTTTTAAAATTTCATTAAACTTTTTTTGTTAATCACAGAAAGGCCCTTTTTAATAGTATAATATGTACACTGAAAGAAATTTGTTGCTAAAAGTAAATACAAATTTATACTAAAAATTTTATACTAGTGCTTTACACATTTATACTACTGTTTATTATGAATGTATGGTAAATTTTGTAATACATTTATTGTAAAGAAGATATGTTAGATCTAAATAAAAATAAACTTACCCTTACTATAAAATGTAAACTATAAGTGAATTACAGCAAAAAAATATTGCTAGAAACACCATTTATATTGCTAGGGCAGCAATAGGCTGCTAACCAAACGAATATATTTGTTTTAGCAATGTATGTGGTAGTCTATATATGAAACATAAAATATATTTGCCCTAATTATTTTTTTATTTAACTTTAGTATATATTTCTTTCAGTGTATCAAGTTTGATAAACGCCATTTTAGACACGAATTTATTTTAGGCACCAGAGAGCTTGCGAGCGTTGAGGGTCTAGAAAAGTTTATGAACGAGTTGCATACTATACTTTTTCTTCGACAAATACTTATTATTATCTTAAAATGATTTAAATAAAATATTTAGAGCACCATCTATAAAATAATAGGGGAATCTGTGTTAGGTACCGCCAAATATCAAATTTGTATGTGTTATATAGGTTATAAATCGAAATATATATTATATATAGGTACTATAGTACCTTTATTGTACAACAATATAATTTTTGCAAATGAGAAAAATTCTAAACCAATACCTAAATGATTTCAAATTTAATTATTTAAACAACATCGAATTTGAATTAAAAAGAATATATAAAATAATGAAAAGCAGTTATATTTTAAATATTTTTTTTCTTTAAGCATTCTTTAATTTAAGCCTTATTATTGTCAACGCTCACTACCTCACTAAGTATTCAATTATCTCCTAGGCTGTAAAAATAATTTAGACCAATCAGGTGAAGTATTTTATATCCTAAGAGAACGCCGTAGGCTATGGCCTATGGCCCAGCTTATTTATAAATCTCACTATATACACTGTATACTTTACATGCTGTATAATATAAAGTTTATATCCAAGTTATTTTTATGCAAATACTAAATAAACCTTTTACCTATCCTACGGTATAAAATTTTTCATAATTATAAATTGGTTAAAGGGCACATACTTATAGCAGATATGTAATGTAAGGTTTTTTCTAATTACGACAACGCGTTGTAGTCGTTTTTTTCGCTTAATATATTAAGCGTTTTCGTTCTTTAACCTAATAAATATTATATTAAAATATTCTGTATTAATTAATATAAGTATTTAGTATCTAGTACAGATGAGAAATTGAGCAGCAAGCCTTAAAAGAAACGCAAATGATTTGGCAAGAGATCATCAACAGCAGCTCGGATCGAAGTGATCTCTGGTAATGTGCGAGGGTTCGATGGACGACGCAATTGATGCAACCACCGCCGCCCCCGATTCAACAGCAGACGCCGAGACGATATCAAACGACGCAAAGGTCCATAAGGAACAACTACAGTGAGTCCAATTCATCTTTATTTACATACCTAACATATGTTTTATATTTTGTTATAAAAAAATAAGAGTATAAAAGTATAAAGTATGATTTTTGTTTAAATTTAAAAAAAAATTAAGAAATAATATGCTCATATTTAATTTAATAAAATATGATTTTTAATATACTAGTTTATATATCATCAAAATAAATCATTAAATTTGAAGGATTATTAATAATATACAGGGATGGGGTTTACAATAAGATAAACTGTAGATTTAAAAGAAAAAGTAATTATTTTTAAAATCATCTGCTTCCTACAACTACAATTTCCAATGTCATGGCATTTACATTAAATTTAACATTTTAAGTTACTTTGATTCCATTTTATAAGACTGTTTTCAAAGCAGAATTTTATGTCTTAAAATTAAAATTACGAAAATTTTATAAAAAATATTTGACTATAACATTTTTTATAATTAGCCTCAGCCCTTAGATGTTATTCATTATTGTATTAGCACAATAATAACTATATTTTCCTAGTTAAATAATGAAATAAGCGTAGACAATAAATAAAATAATAAAATTATTTATGTTTGCACTTCTTCATTCCAGTGGCGGCTCGTGGCCATTCATGAAGGTGAGGCCCATGAACCGCTATATGGCACCGCAGGCAATTTTTTTTAATTTTCAAAGTCTCGCGTTTTTGGAGCACTTCAGAATCTAAATAATAAAAATGGGTGATTCTCCAGAACGGAGCAAATATGCTGAAACTCTTAAATAAAGTATACTAGTAGTTAGCATTTAAATAACACTACAATAGACAGTTTATGTCTAGCAGTAGAACGTACTTAACCAAAAAAATAAAACATTATTTATTTTATTAATTTGAATTTGCTTAAACGCTTTAAAGTCAACTCCATGGACTGTCACCACCTAGCGTAGGGACAACAAATCATACATATACTATTAGACTAGATGCAATTGTGAAATGATTCTTTCATATTGCATTTCCTCTAACTTGGAATGTATAAAAAAACACAACCAAAAGCAAACCTATTGATATTTTAACCCAAAATGTCGAATAAAGCATGAGACACCATTTTACAGCTGAGTTCTTTGCAGTCTTTTAATATATGATAAATACCCTGTATAAAACGTATTTTAGTAATGTTTGAAGACTTCGTCGTTTGAGTGATTTAGTGTTGATTTGTGTAAGCAAGGCAAAGGGGGTGTAATATTTAATAAAAATTTATAAAGAACAATTATTTCTCGGAAAAACATCATTAGTCCAATATCGTCGAAATTTAGATATTAGCACCAACTGTTTACTAACCTCCATATATACGTATACAAATAAGTGTTTCTCGTAAAAATGTCATAAGTTCCATAATAATTAAATATGAAATTTAGCTTGTTCTTCTAAAAACATCACAAGTCCACTTCGTTTCGTCTAAGAAAGTCACATGTATAGAACATGTGACGTTTAACGACACTCTAGAAAAGCTTCTACCTCTTTTACATTACCACAGCAATAGAAAATTTTATGATAACTTGATAAAAGAGCAGAAGACCATAGCACCTGACAGTCCTGATAACACGGTCGACAACGATGATAACAGCAGTGAATGCGAAGACTGAGTGTGGCAGTAATACAGTATTTAGTTTTTTCATTTATTTTTTTACTCAGAGTTAGTATTTAGTTTGTAGTGTTTGTAGTAAGGAGAATTGTTTGTTTTTTTCTTCTAAAAACCTCACATGTTCATGTATTTTTGTGTTTTTTTCATATTCGTTTGAAAATACAAACATGAGGAATTCTGGACAAAGTATCTTACATTTTTTTACATGTAGTAAATAGGTCAATAAAGTACTTTGGTCAAAAATGGGAATGTCGGAGTTTTTTTCATTTTCCCAAATATGTTAATTTTGGACTAATGATGTTTTTCCGAGAAACGCGTCAATTATTTGCGAAAAAACGGGTAAGTATTTTTATTAAAGATCAACTCCATGTCTTTAATAACCTAGGGATTTAAATACAATTGAAATTTAAACTTTCTCCAGGTGAAATAACCAAATATGCTTTGCTTAAATTACAGTTAACTAAAGATACATTATGTACCATTTTCTAAAGTTTGTGACTTTAACTATAAAAACATCAACTCCATGGACATCAACTCCATGGAGTTAAAAGGTATGTCCATGGAGTTGTTTACTTTCTTATTATTGCCCTAAACTCTTAGCTTATATAAGTTAAGGCATTATTAACGATAATTAATAGTATATAGTTAAATTATAATAAATTTAATTTAATTTTTCTTTAAAAAAATGATCTAATAGTATTATTATTATAACTATATGTATATATTAAGTTTAATTTATAGCCGCCTTGAAATTACTTTATGTTATTAATAAATACACATTAAGGTATTATTTTGCTATTGTTTTATTAATCTTTGCTTTTTATTTTTTTACCACCCCAATTTATCCCCGTTTTGGATATTCACCCAAATATATTATTTAAAAATATGTTCTTTCAAGAGAAGAATTTTCAAAATTTAGCTAGAATAATATAAAAAGTGCGGGATTTTTATTTATTCCTTCAGCAGGTTTCCACATTACCCAGGAGGTACTGCTCATTTTTACCTATCTTACAATAATTATTTTTAGATTAATAAAGGCACAACCGCACAACAACAAAATAATAATGTACAAGCACAGTAGGTATATGAAACTCAACGATTTAACACTGAACTATAAAAAAACATGAATATTTTTATTTATATTTTTTGTGATTTTTACTGTGGTATTTGTGTGTTAATATAATAATATATTAAAATAAAAATGATCTTTTATAATTATTTGAATTATTTTTACGTGAATTCACAAAACAATAATGTATTTTACGATTGCATTTTTATCACAACTTTCCATTTTAACGGTAAGGCAAAGATTAAACAGAAATAAGAAACTATAACTCTGCTGTCTTCCATATACTGTGGTACAAGCCCAACTTTGTGGGCCTCAATGTCTACAAAAATTCGCGTATTATCCCCGCCTTGCGGGGGTGCCGGCGGCACCGTGCAGCGGTGGGGAGCATGATGTTGTATCGGCAATGTGTGACGTATATGAAGCGCAAATTTATGGGATTACTATTTCCCTATTATGCGGTCGGGCAATGATTTAAGCGTTAAGAATTAAAGTTGGAAGGGGTGCGCGCTAAATTTAAAGGAAATATTTTAAACTTTAATAGTTACTCTATGTTTTGATACTTTTAATGACTGGAAATTAGTTTTAAAACGTTTTATATTTTAATAAGTAATGTATCGAAAATTTCAAATTATATTATAATTTTAACATGTGAGGCCGGCTCAGTTGCTTTATACGACGAGCCGCCACTGCTTTATTCATAGTATCTTCGCCTTTTCCTTCGGAGAAAGAACCTGTCATTGTCTGTCAATGACAGGTGCTTTTATTGAGGTTATTCATATTAAGTCAATATTTTTAGTTTTTGTTAGAAGAGTCATTCTATATATAGAATGACTCATAAATGAAATAAATAAATCGGCCAAGCCAGCCTATTTTAGATTTTGCTTAAACATTGTGGAATTGTTCATTAGAGTCTGAAAGAAGAAAATCCGCTGTGATTTAATTTCCGCGTCGCACGAAATAAAGCATTCTAAAAGTTTTATTTTTATGTTTTGTAATTTTAGATGTATTTTTTTATTAGGGTTATCCACTCGTTTAAGATGGCATTATAAATCTAAAAGAAAGTAATTTCAGTAAAAAAAAATTACATAACTCAGACCTCTAAAAATATACACGGTTTTGAAAATTTTCCACTCCGGTACATGTGCTATTGCGTGTATCAGATATCAAGTGCACATATCATAGAAGAAAAATACAAACTTATCCCATTCAGCCTCCTGTTTATAAAAAAATTGTTTAGGCTTGAATATGAACGTGTGGGACAAGGGATACAAATCTGAAATTTACAGCATACTTACCCTTAACTTCAAAAGTCTGTGGAATTCGTTTTTTTGTATCCCTCTTGCCTGTTATACTATATTGAGTGACTAGTCTAGAGCTCTAGCGCAGCCTAATTAGGTTTGAAGGATAGGTACTTTTTTGTGGCTTGCAAGACTATTATTACTTTTTTAAGCTTTTAAGACAATAAAAAATATTAGATTTAACTGGTTTCGGAGCACACTAAATGTATGTCCTATTAAAATTCGCGATTTCCCCGCCACCAGCATGCTAAAAATAATATTTAAAATATACATATATAAAATAATTTTTAAAATATACAGAGAAACTGAATAAGCTTCGCCTACTTTATCGCCCGTGCGACCATTCTTCGTCATTAAAACTCGTTCGATTTATTCCGTTTCGGTGAGGCGAGATAATTTTTAAGGCGCTTGAGAACGGTGCTATAATAATTATAATTGCTAAGAAGGTTCGGAAACTACGAAAAATAATATAAATTATAAGTTAAACATGTTATTATTACTTTTGAATTCTGGGGGTGCATGTACTCATGTGCTCCTATGGAGAAACCCCCATTGATACCATCTATAATATATTATTAACAACCGCAAAATTAATTACAATTTTGTATTAAACACACGAAATATTATTTAAACCATATGTCCCAATGTGAATCGTAGAATTGCGAAGTTTCGTGTTATTGCCTTCCCGGTAATAGGATTTTATTGTCTTCTTACGTTTTTGTATAATTCCACAATTTTATTTATAATAAGGTAACTTTATACAATATTAAAAAAAATACAAATAAAAGCTTAAACAATATCTGCATAATAACAAACTTCGTAATTCTCTGGTTATTGACATGGTTAAACCCGGAATTAATTAAGGGTTCGCAATTTAAACTCGGGAATTAGTTCTGCACCTTGAAACCAAATTGAAGGACGTCCGAATTATTGATTTCTCAGATTCAAATTAATATTAATCAAGCCTATACGGCATTGTTCGAAATAAAACTGAATATTGAACAATAATAATAAAT